TTAAAAACCACATATTTCACCTATAGCAGCTGACTAATTCTTATGTCTTACCACGGAGTGAAGACACTCTCCTCTAAAGGGAAATTGTTTAGAAAGATTTCATATATTCATATTTCTCAATTTTAAAATCATTGGAAGATGGTACAGCACAATAAACTAGTATTATTTTAAATAACACAGCACTTCCAATTAAAATAAACATAAAAATGTTCTAGTGATCTTTATGTTTCAAGGTAATACCTAATTATAATCTTGTACAGAGATGGTAAATCAAAGATTACAAATCAAAATATTATAGTAGGAAACAATAACAGTAGCCAAGTAGAAATGTTTCTTTTAGTATCTTTAAATATGACATATAACATTTTTTCCTATATTTTAAAAGTAAATGATTTGCAAAGTTGAAAATTATAATATATATGTTAGAATATATTATATATCAAGATGTCCTGAATACTTTAGTATATTAGTCAATTTATCAAGGTTCACAATAGTATATTTGGAAAGAGATTAACATATATAAATCATTATAGTCAAACTCTATTACGTTATTTTTCATATTTGAATCCAGTCAAGGTAATACTAAGATTTATCACTTTTCTAAGTAGCCTCATTTCCCCTCAGTTCCCAGGTTGTCATGTTTGCCCATTTCTGTTTAACTCCTGCTGTTATGGGGCAATTTCTATTGAATGTTAGGATATATGAACATGCATCTTTCAGTTGACTGGAAGCAAAATTTCTGATTCAATACAGTACTCATAGAATTTTTCTTAAACAAAAGGCATTGGCTGGTTTTCTGTTGCAAACCAATGGTGTTACCTTGGGTAATTCATGAATCTGTTATGGGTTTTTGCTTTCTTTTCTGCAAAATACAGAAATACATGGTCTTTAGGTGCCCATATAGTTTTAAAATCAAATAATTTTTTATCCTATCAGGCACATAAATCTTAGTGTGAAAGATCTGACCTAAGAGTAAGTTTTGATGAGTTGTTAATTAATGTTTATGTAACACCACAATAAGCAAGTCATGATAGATTCAATTACTAATGAAATCTTCCCAACAAATCTGTCAAGGGTGGGTATGATCATTTTTATTTTGCAGATATTTCAGAGAGTTGATGGAAGAGCTGGTCTTCAAAGACAGGACTCGCCTTATTTCCAAGCCCAAGTGCTTCTCGTGCATACAGTGTCCCACACAGGCACTGGGAGTACAGATCGTGTAGAGAGTTGGATGTTGAAGGGCAAGTGTCAGTAAAGGAGAAGAAAGCATTTGGTGACTTGAGGAAAATGAGCATCAATTTTAGGTCCTTTGAATTGTCATCCCTTTCTTGGTCAGCTTAACTTTAGTTAGTTAACAAAGTTAACTAAAAGCAAATGGGTGGCTAAAAGTTAGACTTTTATAATATATTATATATCACAAGAATAATAAGCTGTGTTTGTTTCTGTTCCCCAGAGGAACAGTCTAGTAAGAAAAACAAAATTTGTATGTGATGATTTCTACAATAAGTACCTTAAGTGCATGTTGTATTATTACCCCAGTTCTTATATACTGACTTTATATAGATCTTGGCTGAATGCTGATCCATTTGAAATTACCAATGAAAGTGAAAAAATAATGAGTAGCAATTTGAAAAAAGTCATATATTTCATTAACCTTCTCTATCTTTGATTAAAAAGCCAAAAATAATTGACATAAAGTTGTATGAAAATATGACAGAAAGTATTTTATATTTTATATGCATTTATAAAGCATAAACAGAAATAAACAGTGAATGTGTATGTATATTTTACAGATAAATATAGATAAATGTGTGTATGTGTTCATGTATTTGCAGTTACACCCACACAGTAATAGATATGTAGCTAAAGTAGTAGTAAAACAAAATTACTATTATAAATTTGTTGCCGTTAACCATCTGTGATGAAATTCTCAGATTCTCATTAATTTTTTTATAAATAAAAAAAGCAGTATACTGAAATTATAAATGCAACATATTTAAAAGCTATACTTGTTAATAAGCGGTGATTCCAAGCTTCCATCTGCCTACTTGCTGAATGATATGGAGCATTTGCTCCAGCTGCTATGCTTCTGGTCTTTCTTCATTTCTTGAATTAGCCCCTGCCCTACAGGGGCCCAGATAACAGGCTTCTATGCTCTGTCAGCTTGTTCTGCAATAAATCATCAGTGGCAACAACATTTGTTTAGGCCTACTGAAATGGGCCTCCTGGGAAAACCTGTGGGAAGAGAAAATTCTATCAACCTAACTTACATAACTTCATGTCTTTCTTCCACACCCTTTTATCTTTTGTTCTTTCAGTGGTGCCACTCCACATATTAGTTATTTTTAAATATTGTGAGATACCACAGCTGAAGACATTTTTTTGTTGTTGTTACTGAAGACTCCAGATTATAACTCTTATAAGATTGGCTAAAATGAAAAGCAGTGATTTGCTAAGTATTCAGAGACTGGAAAGATTTCTTTGCTCAGGCGTATTGTCCTATCCATTAAATGAAGCTGAAGAATCTTTGGTCTAGCTTTTCTTCCCTTTACTTATGAATATATTATTCTACTTAATCTTATGCAGACAAGCCACATAGCCCTCTACGTGATAAATAAATTGGAATTATAAACATATGCATAAAGTTATAGCTTAAATTTCATTTTATCCATTACTTTTTAAAGTGCTTTTTATATGTTAAGTAATAGTAGGTTAAAAGCCATCAAGTAAATAAATGTTCTGTTTCACTGCACCAAAGTTTTCTGTGTTAAGACCTAGAAGGGAATTTAGAGATCACCTGGCTCCAGCACATTATTTTACAAATGAGGAATTGTAGCTCAAAGAGGTTATGGGACTCGCGGAAGGTCATCCAGCACATCAGTAACAAAACCTTTGAAGCTTTTTTTGTTCTGGTTTTTCCAGCATTTTGGATGATTGTGGGTCATGAGTGAGCCAAGCTCTCTGTCAGATGGCCACACCAGGACATCTGGCATATGGAATCTCTTCAAGATACTCGCCTTATTACCAGAGCAAAATTTGAGATGAAAGGAAGACAGAAGAGGAGAAAAAAATACCTGAGAGACAAGATGAGAATAAAAACTGAACGTCATAATAGAAAAATTTAAAATGTCCTGCAAACCCTACAAAATAGCCCCACCTCATTCATTGACCAATAGAGGGTTTCTGAGCCCATACGATGCTGAGTGGTGCAGTAGAAAGAAGGATTTTGAAATCTGACTTGTTTTAGAATACTTGCTTTTTCACCTGTTAGCCATGGGACCTTAAGGAAGTGGCTCCGCCACTCAGAAATATCCTCTTGGTGGTGACTTTTAGTGTGACCCTGAGCAACACACTGCTTGCTCATTCATTGTTAGTTCTCACCAAAGATTGGGCTGTGTTCTACCCCCCGGTGTAATCACTCAGCATACCAATCTGAATATGTCAACCAAGTGGACTTTTAAGCTGGATGAGAAGACTGAGGTTTTCAATTAATTACAGTTAGAGACCAAATTCACACTGAATACTGGGGTCATGGCTAACATCCCTTTATAATAAAAAATGCAAGATCACTCTTTAACTCCCAATATGTTTGAAATGTATTTTCAACCATTAAGACTTGTAGCCAGAACGTGGCTAAGGAAAGCATGAAACAGGCAGGTGGGGACTCCCCTATGCTTTTCCTCTTTCTTCTTTCCTGTCCCCTTTCTAAACTCTCCTTACTCACTCAAAACTCCCTCCTGATGCTCTGTTTCCCTGTCAAAAGCTTGTCCACAGGCAGAATCCATAACTACGTAACTAAATATTTTGGTATTGTGTTATCCTGGGAACATGAGCATGTTAACAGAAGGTTTCATGGGAAAGGAACAACCATGAATTATTAAGCTTATCATTGCCCAGGTTGGGTTCCTAATTTGTGTTGTATTATTATCTTGTTCTCGAAGTACTTCTCTGAATTAGATGCTGTTGCCCAATTTTATAGATAAGCCAACAAAAATGAAATGGAAACCACAGCAGGAAAATATAAATGGGGTGTGAGAGAGCAGTTGTGGGCAGCAGGAAGACGAGAGTAGTGATGCTGGGTGAGTTGGAGAAGTGCAGTGACTTTGCTAGTGCATTCTGGAAGTCGTAGGCAGTGCTGACCCCAATTATAGAGTCAGTCATTCTTGAGTCCAGGTAGGTCTTTTAACATCATTCTGAATAAATTGCTGCTGTGGAAGACTCTTTACCTGGTGAATCCCTAGATTTATTAAAGAGGTAGGATAAGACGGGTTTTTGCTGAATGCATGGACCACTCAGCATTTATCTTTGCAATTAGGTGGCCTTGGCTGGGTAATAGGAAAAGCAGAAGCCCATCACCCCTGCTTTCCTTCTAAGTTTCTTACTTCCTTCTAGTTCAGAGCTTCTTGAAGTGGCTTTTGAAACTCATTAAAGTAGGAATTTACTTATCAAAGTACCCAAATTATTCCTGTGGGTCAATTCAACTCCTGTGTTGGCCTAGTTTTGATCTGTACGTATTCATGATTCTGTTTTAATCCTTTAGCATTTCAAATTCCTCTATCTATTTTTCTTTCCCTTACTTTTGGTAAAGTCAAACTACAAATTTCCCAAGAAGGTAGGATGTGTAATCTTCTCATACACTTCAGGGCGAAGATGATTCCAATGTGATAACTGGTAAGTGAAAGATGACAGACTCTTGAATCAGGTGTTTGCAAGTATATCCAAAATATTGAACCCCACTTTGCCCTCTTCCAAATAGCTTATTATTGTTAATAATATGACAATGTAAATTGTGCTGTGATGAAATTCTTCAGTCTCTTCTGCAAATGAAGGCAGAAAGGATAATTTAAGAACCACAATGAAATCAGACTAAAATTAAATTTCTGTTGATAAAACAATGGTAATATAAAACCACTTCAGTCACCACGCAATTACAAAGAAAAAGCAGACTTCTGACTTGAGAAATATATTTTATCTCTATTTTAATCAGAAATGATTGACACAAAACAATATGCTATTTAAAGACAAACTTGACATGCCCAAAGTCAAACCCAGCAACATTAATAATTATTAATTTTTAATTTTCCTACAACCCGTGTGATTGTATAAGATACCAAAGTTTGCTACCCAAGTAAATACTGATATCACCAACTGCTCTGTAAATATCTCACAGAATAATAGAAGTCTAGGTTGAATTCATTCACTCAAGAAAAAGCAATTTTTATTGCACCTGAAGGGTTCTGATGATAGAGACAATAATTCAGGTGATTGAAAACAATTATCAATAAGCTAATTGAGTTCTATTCAAACATCATTGTTTAGCACTTCAGAAAAACCTGAGTGTTTGGGAGGAAATAGCTTATTAAGTTCTGTCTTTTCATGAGAAGGGAACACTCCAGACATTATTTCATTAATAAGGGTTCCTGAACAAATGGAGGATTAAGAGGCAAATCTGGGAGTTTAAAAATAATATTCCACCCATCCCCCTGCTCCCTGCTTCCCTTCCTTCCTTCCTTGCCATGCCTTCCTGTGTCTTATGGGCAAAGAGATGTTTATACCCTTCAGTTGCCCAGGAAACAAAGAGACATTTCATGATTCTGTGATATGTTATCAAACTTGTGTGTTTTCCTTCTCATCTCTGGTAGCTGATTTATTTTGAGGGTTGAAGTGTTTGAGTGGAATTTACACACACGTGTGGGGGGAGAGTCATGCCTGGTGCTCAAAGCAAAATTCATGTTTCCGTTTCTCCTCATTAGGCTTTAACATTAATATGCGGCTTGACAATTATACAATTATAATTAAGCAGTCAGTTTTTTAAGTCCTAGCTTGGAGACTTACGTGACCTCTAAATGGTTTTTTTGCTAACTGGATGATTCTTTTACTCTTCCAGAGCTATCATCATCTTTGAACCAGGAATGTATACTGTTTATTCAGAGGCATTACAATCTCCCATCTGATTCTACTCTGACTAGTATGACCCCAGAAAAATTACATAGTATTTTTAAGCCTCAGTTTCCTCCCTGGGAAAATGGAGGTGATGATGTTTTGGGGAGACTAAAGGGATTGTGCACATATGCATTTACCATGGTGTCTATACCGAGGAAACGTAAAGTAAGTGTTAGCTCATATTGTTAACCAGTTCTTCCCCAATACATGCAGAACACTGGACTGCTTCATAATCATTTACACTGATATAAAAATAACTCAGAGATTCAAGAAAAATGTCTTTATTTGAATGATCCCAGAGTAAGATGGGACTATTTTTAAATATGTACACAAACTTGAATATTATCCTTTAAATCATTCTGGAAAGTAAACACACATTCTCACAATTTTGCCACTGCTCAAAAACTTTTTAGACTACTTATGGGAAAATCTTCAAAAGAAAATTCTGAGCCATATTTAAAAAAACCCTCAGTGTTGTTTTTATTTAACTAAAAACAGGGCCCATCCTCAAAGAATGAGGAAGTTCAAATGAGAACCTAAGAAAGAACATGGTTTGATCACACATACTGTGTCTCATTTGAAAGAGCTTTGTAAATTAGGAAGGGCCATACACACGTAAAATGCTAGAGGAGTAAGGAACGAACATCTTCATTGAGAATATTTAAAAAACTTGCCACAGGCTCTTAAGGAAATTCTACAAACCTCCAAGTGTTTTGAGCTCCAGCAGCATTGTTGTGATATATGGTCTCCAAAGTGCCTACCTGGAGGTAAACAACACCCAGTGGAGTCTGTCAAATTTAGTTAATAAAAATATTCCTCTTACACAGGTGTGTAAAAATTCACAGCAAGAGGATGGACACTGCAAATAAGAGAGATACTGCAGAGGGACAGTAAAATCTTGCTGGGATGGAAAAAATATATATATTCCTACTGGTGTCTGGGCTACTACGCTGCTTTTATCCATTTCCAGCCATATCTAAAATTATCTCCTATCAACTAATTTTATCCAGAAACATTTTAGACTGCTGAACTATGCCCTTCAGTTTGTTTATCCCTTTCAAATTCCTCTAAGGTTGGGTCAGTTTTGCCAGAGCAAGCCGACCATGACATGGGCTGGCGTGAAGCAACTGGATAACTTAGTATTATTTGTTTCAGAGTTATTTAAATAATGAGCTGAGGTTGAAATGAAGATTAGAAAAATATATGTTTAAATTTATAATCTGTGGAGTGTGGCAGTGCAAATGAGTTGTAAACCAAGTAGATCATGGAATAAACATTAAAATCTGGAATGGCAGCCTAGGAAAATGACATCCAGAATTGGCAGAGAGAATAACACTTCCAGTTCTGAGGCATGCTTGAACAGACAAGAAAATATGATTTGGCATTTCAAACATATTGTAGTTTAAATTGACCATCATCAGATCATTTGGGTAATTGAGACCCTAAGAAAGAACATGGTTTGATCACACACTGTCTCCTGATTTGGAAGAGTGATTTCATCTTACAAATATTTTTGTCAATTGGGCCATCTTCAACTCTTTTTCAGAGGTTATTTCAAATCCTTTTATTTTAAAAGTTCAGCACTTGTCTTTTCTATCCTGGAACTTCATATTTTTCTGGGTATCGATTGAATGTGATACTTCTTATTAAAAGCTGACTTATCTCTTCCTCCTTAAGCACTGTGATAGATGTATTCTAGACAGTGTCTGTTGAGACATCCTATCACACTGGAAATCAGGGGCTGTGGATTAGCAGCCCTGCTAATGTGCAAATAGGAAAGGAGCTAAAGCATTGTGTGCCACATTTTTTTGTCTGAGTACATGTCTTTAGATACTCAGAGGAACCTTTGAAATGTATAGTCAATTGCTTAATATCAAGCTTTAAAAATAAATATTTTGAAAATGTATGAATATCTCATTTGCCAGAAGAAATGATCAATATTCTTTAACGTTTTCCACCAAACAATTGACAGCTTTATTAAAGATATTCCTAGAGCAGGTGTGTACTTAGCAACACAACTAAATCCATTAGGCAAGGAGAGAGGAACAGAGCCACAATACCAAAGATGCATTTTGAATATAATGGAATACAAATCAGATGCTACCAAAACACTCAGCTTTAAGGTTTGTCAGTGGCTACTTTACAGCAGATAAAAATGATTAAGCTTCTTTAATGAAATTATGTGAAATGCTCCTCAACAATCTACTCTATGACTTATATGCTTTCAGTAATTTATTTCTATAACTTGCAAAAATGGAAGAATCTCTTGAAAATGCATGCATACTATTTGCCATTAATAGCTTGCTTTGATTCATTTAATGGAATTCTAATTCCATTTTTAAGTATTTTAAGAAACACAATGTATTGCTTTCATTGTCCTGCAAATACACGTTCGGTTTAAAGCATTTTTCATTTAGAAAGGGAAGAAGTTGGAATCAAGGATAATAAAATTACAGATATAGTAAAACTTTCGTAGTCAAAGCCATTTCTGTGCTTTTCGTATTTGCAGGTTTAATACACTAGAATTTAAGAAGATTTAATTCAGAATCAAGACATGTTTTCAGAGTCTATCACTTAAATGTTAGTTTTTAGATACTTTGTGAGCATTCCAACTGGGCTTTAAAGAAGTTAGTGTGACATACCTTTTCATAAATACAATTGTTACATTCAAAAAAGTCTTAATCCAGTCAAATGAAGAGAGGGGAGAAATCAAGGCTCCAATATCATATATATATCAAAGCAGAATTGTTTAGTTACCAAAGCCCAGGAAGTAACATCACTGCACCCATCAGAGTAAATGCCAAAGATTCAGTTGCTGTTGTACATCCCGCTCCTGTTGTATCTAAAGTACCACCACCATCCGTTTGGTGGATTCGCTTTACATCACTGAGGTTCATCTCCTCTGGCATCCCTGCAGAGGCAAATAAGAAAACACAGGAAGATGCATGAGTACCTCTCCATGGTATGTCTAGAACTGTCTTAAATCCAGTGTGGGGACACCGTTGTTTTTCTGGAGCATTCTTTACATGATCACCTAACTCAAAATGATTAATGTGACCCATGTACTTCAATTCTTGGGTAAATTGGAGAGTGCAGACCTTGGAGTGGGAAGCTTTCTAAAGTGAAGAGCTTTCTAAAGCATCTGGAATATTTCTCTAATGTCTTTGATTGTTCAAAAAAAAAAAAACAGAAAAAGAAATTTAATTAAAATGTCCTGAGGTAAGATGTTATTGCTTGTCTCAGAGATGTTACAAGTGGAGTAACTCTGTGAAACCTTTCTCATGAAAATAAAACCACTTAAGGAGAAATAATTTAAATAGGACATTTTTAAAAAGTGGGATTTACACATCACATTAAAGGATATTAAATAGTATCCACACAGCTGTGGGGAGAGAGGTGTAGACACCTGTCAAAAGGATCAAAGACTTTGTTAACAGGGTGGCTTGGGGAGTGAAGTTGGGGATAAAGGATTTGATTAAAAAAATAGAAACAAAATCAAAAGACAAATAGGTGAAATTATAGACCAAAATCCAGTCACATCCTGGTTACTAATTCTGCATGTTACAAAACTTGACAAGCTGAAGAAGAGACCAGCTCCCAAATCACTGGGGATGAAGTAATCACTTTCTTTAAGAAGCTTGCCTTACTATGATAAACCTAGGGAATTACTGAGTTAGCATTTATTATCTAGTGCCACCAATGTTCGGAGACCATGTGACTGTCTGAATTATCTCTTGGCATGCCACTATCTGTCACAATTAACAAGTTTAAGTTCAGTATTACTGCAGCCATAAATATTGACAATGTAATTACAGTGAGACTGAAAAAAAAGCTTCATATAAGGAAAAGTCAGTATTTATATAATTAGGTCAATACGTATATATAATTCAGAAGGTAAGCTCTACTGTGCGCAGAAATGAGAGCATTCAAAGGAAGTACAGCTCTACTGATCTGACATATTGATTTTACAGTCTGAGCTCCTGCATTATTTTCTATTGTTTGGGTACCTGTTTTCTCCTTCTGTGTTATTAGGCAAGAAAAACTACTGATTCTTTTTTTTTTTTTTTATAGGGACTGAAGTGGAGTGTGAATATTTTAGTCATGGTTTTTATATTTCTTGTTATGCTGGAGTTTAACAAGGAGCTAGCTATGAGGACTCTAGGCAATTAAAATCTTTTTCTAAGATAACTACATAAATTTGAACTTTACAGGAGTTGTTTTTTGTTTTTAAAGCTCTGTGAAGAGGTATTTGCATTGGTTCATGAAGAACTTTTTCTCATGCCTTTCAGAGCTGGTATTTCTCTCATTCATTCATGAGCGGGCGCTGGTCTGGGTTCAGGGGGTACCGTGTTGAGTAGAAAAAAAAAGGTAGAAAGATGTTAAAACTTATGCCTGCAAGCCATCCAATGCCGAGAGGGATAGCCCACCTTCAATTGGCTGTCATTTTTCACATCTAAAGTAGAGATGTTACTAATAAATGTGGTAGTTCTAAAGGTGATGGTCCCTTAAGGTGAGATATCATAAGAATTAAAGGTCCCTTCAAGAGTCTGGCAATAAGGCTGCACTTTCGGATCAAATCACAACCTGGCCTCGACATGCGTTAGGAAATCTTAGCACGTGAAGAAAGCCAGCCTCACAATTATTTGATGCAATGATTGTTTTCTTAAAGGAATTTAATTAATTAAGTTTGTAAATTATAACAAAGCTTAGCCAAAGACCCATAAAAGAAAAATTAGTTTGGGAATTCATTACATTAATAAATTAAACAAAAGCAAAATAATGTTTGAATAATCTTTTCTCTGCATAAAAGGAACCCAAAAAGATCCCAGTAAGTTCATATTTCTGCCCTGGGTGGGGGAAGACTAATAGTCATATTATTACAAAAATAAATTTAATATTAAAACTCAGGTGTATTTCCACTGATTGGCACCATGAAGTATGTTAAAGGGATGTAACTTGGTCAAGGAAGTCTCTGCTAAGAAAGTGTTCAAGCATGTTCATTTATTTGACAGTATCTACAGAGCACTTGCTATGGTGCCAGTATTGTTCCAGACCCTTCAGAAATATTAACGGGTTTGATTTTCACAAGAATCTCTTTCAGTAGGCACTGGTCTTAAGTTTGTAGGTGAGGAAACTGAGGCACTGGGAGATTAAGTAACATGTGAGCACTGGAGCCAAGCATTAAGTCCAGAAGCTGAACGGAGCCTATGTTCACATCTTTTGCTGGGCTGACCCCGAGCACTTTGCTGGGCAGCTAAAGATAGTACTTAAACAGAGAACGCAGAAGGTCAGTTAGGTTGCCCGGAAAGTGGGCTAGGCAGTTCTCCTTCCTTGATTTGGGGTGGCTGACCACGTGCTAGTTTTGTGTATTAATCAAGCACCTGGAAGCATTCAGAGTTAGAATCAGTGGGTGCGCCAACAATGGTGGAAGAACAGAATGGGCAGTGAACCTAGAGGACCCCTTCTTTTTGTCCTGGATGCGCTGGCCTATTTTCTGTCAATATTTCTCTATTTCGTCTAGCCGCATAGTTAACACATTCTTCGTTTCACTAAACAGTGAGGACTATATTTAAATAGGATTTATTGTCTATTTTAATAAGGAAGATTTCATGGGCAAGAATTCATTTTTAATTTGGTCCCTCAGTCACAAAATTTGCCCATTACCAGTTCTGTGTCCTGGGCTCTGCCAGAGACTGAATGTGTACAATGCACTTACAGGCTTTTTCTGCGATGAGTCTGAAAAAAAAAAAAGCCACAAGGTGTCTTCTCCTCCAATGGTGAAAGCATAGGACAGGTTTCAATGTTGGGAGCAGGAATATATAGGTCATGATTTGAATTCAGTGAAGTTGAAATAATTGACCTCCAGAAATGATCTGTTTTCAAGATAGCTATAATTATGGACCTCAAAAAACGTCTATTACATAGTGTGCTTTTAATGGATATCATCAAGTGGATAAATTGAAAAGTGACTCTTACTCTCACAACTGTGGGATAAAGTAAGTAGAATTATTTCTCCTTATTCTGCAGATTAGGAGCCAAAGAAGTGATTTAGTCAAAGTAATTTGGCCGTGGCTGAATCCCAGGTGGGGCCCAGTCAAATGTGGCTCTGAATCCAGCAGTATCCCCTTTGGCACTGCACAATGAAAGCATTGAATTTACGGTCAGACTTTGGCTTTGTATAGTCTGGCTGGCTGGAGGACTTCACACATGACCTCCGTTTTACAGAACCTTAAAATGACAGCTGTTTCAGTGAAAAAAGAGGGTTAATCAACATACAGTGCTGGCTAATTGATAGTAAGTATTTGTAAAATAAGCGAGGTATTTACCCATCAGCATCCTCTAAAGTGTCGGTGGGACCAAAGACTAAGTATAAATAATGAGGAAGCAAACCAAGCATATAGTTGGTTTTTAAAAATGTATGTGTAAGTGGGGGAAAGTGTATAGATTTTTAGGTAGAATCTATACAATAAAAATTAATAATTTTATTAGCTTCTTAATAAAAAAAACCCCTCTGTACAACATGGAACACCTTAAAAAAATTAAGTGGACGAATAGTAAAGTGGAGAAAATATTGCAGTGTATGCAGCAAAAGGGTAATGTCCTTAATATACAGAATTCTCATAATCTATGTGAAAATCACACATCCCGATAGAAAAAGTGGTAAAAGAAAATAAATGGATATTTATAAGAAAAAAGTAAATTTCTCTATAAGAAAAAAATTGAAAAGTCTTCTTTATTGGGGAGCAAATAAATACAATCTTATACAAATGAGGTGCCTCTTGACAAAGGCAGGGCAGAGAGGAGACAGCAGCCAGTTTTGTCAAGGATGCAACCCCTTGTTGTCTTTTTAATAGTAGCCATACTGATGGGTGTGAGGTGATGTCTCATTGTGACTTTGATTTGCATTTTTCTGAGTAATAGCAATGCTGAGCATCTTTTCACGTACCTGTCAGCCATTTGTATGTCATCTGTGGAAAAATGTCTATTTAGTGCCTCAAATTTGTTTGCTTTTAATATAAAGATATAAAATCATATGGCAATAAAACAGAATGTAGAAACCAGAGATAGCTTCTTATATCAGCCTGCCAGTTTTTTTTTTTGTTTTTTTTTTTGTGATTAACCAATCTAATCAGATCTCATCTCCCAGGAGATATGATTGACAGGTTTACTCAGGTTGTTGGGTCACTTGAATCCAGAGTATATCCTAGAAAATGCTGAATTACTTTCTAGTTTTCCATGGGGTCTTCCATGTAATCCTATAACAAAAGCAGAATGACTATGATTTGAAAAGACAGAGTAATCCTATAGCCTCATGAACACCTCAGCTGAAGGTTATCTCTGTGATTTTCTCTTTGATTTTAGAGGGTGTGACTAATAAGTGGGGCTGTCTCATGGCAGCCTCTTCCATTCTCTGTGGGACAGGGCATGAGATTTACTTATAGTCCCTTTGACTGACTCTTTGTAAGTACTGAAAAGTCTTCTTTTCTCAATAAATTATGTAAGAATAATGGAGTAATTCTAATTGTTAATAATTTAAACAATGTGTTAAAAATAATAGGAGATTTTGACTATAAACCAAAGCTTACTTTAAAGTAGTATGATTTATTATAATATTTCAGCTCTGGTTAATGCTGAGGATTAATTTCATTATTTTGTTATTGTATCAACTAAATTATTGGTGGCTCCTTACTAATTAATGATAGGCTTTCTTTTTTTCAGGATAGAGTTTGTAGCACAGAGGGAATATTGTACTGTTTGGCTTTTTTGCTATTTTCTGATGCTATATTTTATTCTGTAATGATCATCCAGGTCTTTTCCTTAAGTCTGCTTTACTGAATTTTGAAGACTTTAGAAACAGACACACATCTCATACTGAAAAATGCTGAATTATTTTAAGCAATTTTATAATAA